GCCACCCAAGAAGTCGAGTTTGGGTCGTCGTACTCGCAATACAGAAGCAAAAAGACGTAAGATTACGAATATGACTGACGAAGAGCGGGCCTCCATCCGAGAGACTGAGCGGCTGAGAGCAATGCAGATGCACAACGAGGAATCAGCAGAAAGACGAGCAGATAGGCTTAAGAGAAAACGATTGAGAGTTAGGCAGTCGCGTTCTGCAGCAATCGATTTGATTCACTCTCAAAATAATGATCGCGACAGGGCAAGGGTAACTGAAGCGCGTTTACAGCTTGCAGCAGATCAAACCCTGCAATACAATCGTCTTGCATTCAGATATAATCCAACTGTTAATTATAGCTCGAATCGCAATGTCGTTATTGGCCAGATGCATCAGATCTGCATATACTGTCAGGCTCTCAAATTCAAAAACGAACCAAAAGGATTGTGTTGCGCTTCCGGGAAAGTGAAATTGCCTCAACTTGAAGCACCACCAGAGCCTCTGCACTCTCTATTCGCTGGATCTAATGCTGAATCGAAGCATTTCCTGTCGAACATTAGGAAATACAACTCTTGCTTTCAAATGACGTCATTTGGTGCGGAAATTATAACTGCGCAATTCATGCCAACTTTTAAAATCAAAGGACAAATCTATCATAAAGCCGGTTCCCTGCTTCCGTTCCAAGACAGCGAACACAAATTTCTTCAAATGTACTTCATTGGTGATGATGGAGATGAAGTAGATGCACGTTATGGAATCAATAAATCGCTGAAGAGGCCAATTATTTCGCAGCTACAGAATCTTTTTCACGAACCGAACAATTTGGTGCGTTTATTCAAAACAGCAATCGATATGATGCCTTCGGATACCCATAAAATTGTCATTCATGCAGACAAAACGCCTGCTGGAGAACATATCAGGAGATATAATGCTCCAACTATAGACGAAGTGGCAATTGTCATAGTCGGGGATCAGTTTCAACCTCGAGATATTGTTCTCCATCGACGAAACGATCGATTGGTAAACGTCGCAGAAACTCACCGTTGTTACGATGCTTTGCAGTATCCACTAATCTTCTGGGATGGTGCCGATGGATACCATTTCAATGTGACTTATTTCTTATGCGTTCAACCACAATATGCCACAGAGAAACGTGGCAGTCCATTTGGAGAATGGTCAACGTGTCTATTTCACAGAAAAAAATGTGCAAGAAAGAGTCCTGAATCGGCCAGCGACAACTCTGACTGCCTTCTTCACCTTATGCCAGGAAGATGATTTTGCCAGAACCTTGATGTATTCAGAAGTGCCCTCTTAACCATAATATGCCCGTGCGAAGCCGGGACGGGCCGGCTAGTATATATATATATATATTATATATATATACATATTTCCGGTATGTACAGGTGTTTGCAGGTTACATCCTTAGAGGTATCCTTAAGGATATCGTTCTGGAAGTGATGAGCTTATAGCTTTAGAGGCGCGTCTCGATTAGACGGTTTCAATTTTCTATTCTTCTATTATTAATTTTTGTTTAACCTTACAGATCAAGGGCATTACTTATGACATAGTGGAATACTTTTTACCAGGAATGGTTTTGTTTTCTGGTCGAAAAAAAAAAAAGCAGCAATACACATTTTTATACCCTTGCAGGGTATTATAATTTCAGTCAGAAGTTTGCAACGCAGTGAAGGAGGCACCTCCGACTATATAAAGTATATATATTCTTGATCAGGATCAACAGCCGAGTCGATCTAGCCATGTCCGTCTGTCCGTCTGTCCGTCTGTCCGTCTGTCCTTCAGTCCTTCTGTCCGTCTGTCCGTTTCTACGCAAACTAGTCTCTCAGTTTTGAAGCTATCTGAACGAAACTTTGTAGTTAGCCTTCTATGTACTCTCACTCGTATATATGTCGGAACGGGCCGGATCGGACGACTATTTCATATAGCTGCACAGGAATGATCGGAAAAATTAAAAAAAAAAAATTTTAACTTTTTCAGTTTTCAATTGAATTGGATCAAATTTGAGATATAGCCATTTTCCTATACTCTACAATTTTGCATAAAATTTTATGAAAATCGGACTACTATATCATATAGCTTCCATAGGAACGATCGAGAAATTAATACAATTAAATTTATAACTTTTTCTGTATTCAGCTGATTTCCATCAAATTTGAGGTATAGCCATTTTATATTAGTTTTAAATTTTGTGTCAAATTTCATGAAAATCGGACGACTATATCATATAGGTGCCATACAAACGATCGTTAGATGTAGAGGAAAAATGCAAATCTGTGAATGTAAAACTGCAAATATAATATGTATAGGTGAATGAAATGAAAGCAGGTATTACTGCATTGTTTTTTAACACAAATAAATATAATTTATATTGTTGAGATTCCAAGTCATAGAAGTTATATCTGCAAGGGTATATAAACTTAGCTAGGAAGTTAGGAAGTTAGCTTCCTTTCTTGTTAATTATACCCTTGCAGGGTATTATAATTTCAGTCAGAAGTTTGCAACGCAGTGAAGGAGGCACCTCCGACTATATAAAGTATATATATTCTTGATCAGGATCAACAGCCGAGTCGATCTAGCCATGTCCGTCTGTCCGTCTGTCCGTCTGTCCGTTTCTACGCAAACTAGTCTCTCAGTTTTAAAGCTATCTGAATGAAACTTTGTAGTTAGCCTTCTATATACTCTCACTCGTATATATGTCGGAACGGGCCGGATCGGACGACTATTTCATATAGCTGCACAGGAATGATCGGAAAAATTTTTTTTAAAAAAATTTTAACTTTTTCAGTTTTCAATAGAATTGGATCAAATTTGAGATATAGCCATTCTACTTTACTCTACAATTTTGCTTAAAATTTTATGAAAATCGGACTACTATATCATATAGCTCCCATAGGAACGATCGAGAAATTAATACAATTAAATTTATAACTTTTTCAGTTTTCAGCTGATTTTCATCAAATTTGAGGTATAGCCATTTTGTATTAGTCTTAAATTTTGTGTCAAATTTCATGAAAATCGGACGACTATGTTGTATAGGTGCCATACAAATGATTGTTTGATGTAGAGGAAAAATGCAAATCTGCGAATGTAAAACTGCAAATATAATATGTATAGGTGAATGAAATGAAAGCAGGTATTACTTCTTTTTTTTTAACACAAATAAATATAATTTATATTGTTGAGATTCCAAGTCATAGAAGTTCTATCTGCAAGGGTATATAAACTTCGGCGTGCCGAAGTTAGCTTCCTTTCTTGTTTTAATTTTGATTTTATCGGAATACAACGGAACAGAAGCCTTTGGGTTCTTCAACGGCGCCGTTGATAGAGAATTTAGAGAGTATGTCCCAAAAAAGAGAGTTTGAACTTGGTCATCGCAATAGATCGTAGATGGACAAGAAAGACAATTTTTGTAAGATTTTGTACTAGCAAAACAAGGAACGCTTTAGGTCCATTCATAATCAATTAATTGGTATTTTATTTTTTGTTTGTTTTTTTTCTTCAAACAGTTAATTTTTGTTTATCAACCAAATTGTTACGCCATTAACTTTAGCAAATGAAGCAAAAAAAAAAACAAGAAAGGAAGCTAACTTCGGTACGCCGAAGTTTATATACCCTTGCAGATAGAACTTCTATGAATAGGAATCCATACAATAAAAATTATATATATTTGTGTTAAAAAACAATGAAGTAATACCTGCTATCACTTCATTCACCTATACATATTATATTTGCAGTTTTACATTCACAGATTTGCATTTTTCCTCTACATCTAACGATCGCTTGTATGGCACCTATATGATATAGTAGTCCGATTTTCATGAAATTTGACACTAAATTTAAAGACAAATATAAAATGGCTATACCTCAAATTTTATGAAAATCTGTTGAAAACCGAAAAAGTTATCATTTTTAATTGTATTAATTTCTCAATCGTTCCTATGGGAGCTATATGATATAGTAGTCCGATTTTCATAAAATTGTATGCAAAATTGTAGAGTATAGTAAAATGGCTATATCTCAAATTTAATCAAATTCTATTGAAAACTGAAAAAGTTAAAAATTTTTTGTAAACATTTTCCGATCATTCCTATGGCAGCTATATGATATAGTCGTCCGATCCGTATATAGAACCCTAACTGCAAAGTTTCATTTAGATAGCTTCAAAACTGAGAGACTAGTTTGCGTAGAAACGGACAGACGGACAGAAGGACAGACGGACATGGCTAGATCGACTCGGCTGTTGATCCTGATCAAGAATATATATACTTTATATAGTCGGAGGTGCCTCCTTCACTGCGTTGCAAACTTCTGACTGAAATTATAATACCCTGCAAGGGTATAAAAAGTTAACCTAGAAATTATGAGAGGGGGATATACAAAATTATAAAGAAGAACATATATATATATGTATATATACAGAAAAAAATTATAAAATTTATAATATTATTTAATTTACTTTAAAACTTGAGCCCTTCGTTCACGTTTTGCTCCTACATTGAATTCCTCTTAACTCCTTAATAAGCTAAATTTTTTGTGATAAGGAGCGTGCGGAAGAAGTACTCTATGCCGCGCATATTGGTGACAGATCGATTAATTTTGACCATGTTTTATTAGTTATTCAAGAACCTTGTTTTGGAAGGAGAAAAAGAGAAACGAAACGATTGTCGAATGAGAGCGGTAGAGGTCGATGTCGGCAAACTAGGATAAAACGATAATGGCATTGGCCCATTGATGATATGCGGTAGTGCAGGGTTATAATACATTGTTTAAAAATCGACCAAAATTTAATTACATATGATTTATAAATGTTTATATATGTCTCCCTCTTGTTGGGTTTTATTTTTTTTTAATTAAAATTGATCGATTCAGAACAAATCAATTGCAAGCTAAAGAGTATACAATCAGTGGCATTCAGAAGTTTTCTACCTGGCCAATATGCAACAACATGGGGAAAAATATAAATGTTCGTTACAAAAATTTATTTTTCAAATTAAAGATTGATATGGTGGACGATGATGAACGACGTTGGCGTCATTTTAATCCAGAAATTCCAAAACGATCTGGAAAAATTGGTGATCTGGAAAAGTTTGATGCGACTTTTTTGGGGTGCACTTTAAACAGGCCCACACAATGGATCCTCAAACTAGAATTCTTATAGAAACTGCTTATGAAGCTGTAATAGACTCGGGAATAAACCCAAAAAGTCTACGTGGATCAAGAACTGGAGTGTACATAGGATCATGTATTTCTGAGTCGGAGAAAACGTGGTTTTATGAAAAAGTTTCTTCTGGCGGTTTCGGTATTACTGGGTGTAGCAGAGCAATGATGGCTAACAGGATTTCATATTGCTTAGGACTAGAGGGTCCTTCATTTTTACTTGACACTGCTTGTTCCAGTTCGATGTACGCCTTAGATAATGCATTCAGCGCTATTCGGAATGGGGAGATTGATGCTGCAATAATAGGTGGATCGAACTTATTACTTCATCCCTTTGTAACTCTCCAGTTTGCACGGTAAGTATTAAAATTATATTGTTATAAATGATTAAAAGCATGTGAAAATTGTAGACTTGGGGTTTTAGCGCCAGATGGATTTTGTCGCCCTTTTGATAAAAATGCAAATGGTTATACCCGATCGGAAACTATTAATTGCCTTTTTTTACAACGAAAACGAGATGCTAAAAGGGTTTATGCTAGTATAGTTTATTCGAAAACTAACTGTGATGGATATAAACCAGAGGGTATAACATATCCTTCAGGCACAGTTCAAGAAAAGTTACTCAATGAATTTTACAAAGAGATTGACCATTCACCAAAAGATATTGGTTACTTAGAAGCTCACAGTACTGGAACTGTAGTCGGTGATCCTGAAGAATGTAAGGCAATCGATAATGTTCTATGCAGTCAAAGGCAGGAACCGTTGTTAGTTGGCTCCGTGAAGTCAAATGTGGGTCATTCCGAAGCGGCTTCAGGGATCTGTTCACTAGTTAAAGCTTGTTTTGCTTTTGAAACTGGACTAATTGCCCCAAATATAAATTTTTCAGAGGTTAAGCCTGTAATTGCTCCTTTAGCCGAAGGAAGGTTGATTGTAGTAAAGGACGTAACTCCCCTCCCAAAGCCATGCATAGGAATAAATTCTTTTGGATTTGGTGGAGCTAACGCACATGCACTTTTACAGGGCTTTTCCAAGGCAAAGAACAATTTCGGATTACCCCTAGATGATGTACCAAGGCTTCTTACCTGGGCTGGAAGAACAGAGGCTGCAGTTGCGGAAATATTTAATGCTGTTGAACAAAAACCATTGGACGCCGAATTAATTGGACTACTTCAAAATATTCAAGAAGAAGATGTGTCCGGTATGGTGTTCCGGGGCTATGCAGTTTTTAGCAAAGAAGGAAAAGAGCCGGCCAAATCATTAGTAAGAGATATTCAACATTACACAGGACTCCAACGACCTATTGTATGGGTATATAGCGGAATGGGTTCACAGTGGTGCGAAATGGGAAAATCTCTTATGATAATTCCACGTTTTCGGGATTCCATCGAAATATGTCATCAAACGCTACTTGCGAAAGGCCTTAATCTAATACATATATTAACATCCAATGATCCTGAAACATACGAAAATATTTTGCATTCATTTGTGGGAATCGCTGCTGTACAAATTGGATTAACAGATGTCTTGCGTTCTCTTAATTTTAAACCGGACTATATAATTGGTCACTCTGTTGGTGAATTGGGATGCGCATATGCGGATGGTGGACTGTCTCCACAACAAATGATAATGGCAGCCTATTACCGTGGAAAGGTTAGTGTCGACCTAGAAAAAATAAAAGGTTCAATGGCAGCAATCGGAATGGGCTATAAGACCATTCTTCATATCTTACCTGAGTCTATAGAAGTTGCATGTCATAATGGTCCCGATTCGTGCACGATATCTGGTCCAATAGATGATGTTAATAAATTTGTCAATGAACTAAAATCAAAGGGAATATTCGCTAAAGCCGTGCCTTGTTCGAATATCGCATATCATTCAAAATATATTGCCCATATGGGGCCCCCATTATTGCAATACATGAAAGAAATTATACCGAACCCAAAATTTAGAACAACAAAATGGTTAAGTACTAGTGTTCCCAAAAGTGACTGGGATAAAACTGAACGCAAACTTTGTTCTGCTGAGTATCACACAAATAATTTATTAAACAGTGTACTTTTTGAAGAGACATTTTCTATGCTGCCAAAAAATGCATTGACTATTGAAGTAGCGCCACACGGACTGTTGGGTGCTATACTAAAACGATCAATGCCTAATGGCGTACATATTCCACTTACAAACAGAGGAAACAAAAATAACGCACTAGTTTTCTTGGCGGCCCTTGGAAAGTACGTTTAACTAATAGAAATAAATTATAAATGTATTTTTTTATATTTTTTACTTTCTTAAGAATATTTCAGAATGGAGTTTTATTACCGGTTGCCAAATTATATAAAGAAGTAGAATTTCCTGTTTCCCGTTCGACGCCCAGCATTAGCTCGCTTATTCGTTGGGATCATAGTGAAGATTGGTTCGTGACAAAATACGAAAATATGAAAACGAAATCCAGCGGAGAGCGTATATTTCCTGTTAACTTAACTAGTGATAACGAAGAGTTTATGAGTGGCCATGTCATAGATGGAAAAATTTTAGTACCAGCTACTTGCTATTTGCAGTATGTTTGGGAAACATTCTCTTTAATGTACCATGGTCCGAGTTATATGGACGTACCCGTTGAATTTGAAGATGTACGCTTCATAAGGGCTACAAGTATGCCCCATAGTGGAGAAGTAGAATTAAACGTTATGATTCACTATGGCACTGGGCATTTTGAGGTGAGTCATCAATCTGATTTATCTGTTGTTTAGATGTACATAGTAAAATATTATTTTCTGAATTTTATAGATAACTGAAGCCGGTAACTTAGTGGTTACCGGCTTTATTCGTGAGACTGAAGATTCAATTATTCCGGAGGTTTATTATTTTAAAGAAGAATCAGACTTCCCTATGATTTCCAAGAAAGACTTTTACAAAGAATTGAGGTTACGTGGATACCATTATAATGGCGCATTTAGGGCAGTTAATTCAGCCCGTTCTGATGGTCTGTTCGGCAAAGTTGAATGGAATTATAACTGGGTAACTTTCATGGATGCAATGCTTCAAATTCATATACTTGGAACTGATTCTCGAACCCTTTTACTGCCAACAAAAATTCAGAAACTCAGAATAAATGGAGTCCATCATTTCGATTTAATGACTAAGATGGATTCAGAAAACCGTATCTTTAACGTATATGTAGATCATAAATTCAACAGGATCATAGCTGGCGGTATTGAGCTGATAGGATTACATGCTAGTCCGGTTCAGAGACGTAGACCTCCTGGTGTTCCAGTCCTTGAAAAGTCTGTTTTTCTGCCCTTTCGTATGACTCAAACTCTATCTTTTAAAAATGCGGCTCGTGTTTGCACTCAACTTGCTCTTGAGAACAATCTTGCATTAAAAATGAAGTTAGTGGAAGTAGATACAGATGGTAGAAAAACCGTATTAAACGATTTTATTGAATCCATAGAAGATTTACCAATAATTACTGCTGATTATATACTTTTCACATCTCAAAAGCTAGAAAACATCCCAGGAGTACACATTGAAAATGGAAGTCTTTCGACTCAAACAAATTGTCATTTTCTTATATGTGGAGAATGTAATTTGAGTCAAATTGAAGATGCCAAAAAGTCTTTAGTCGAAAGTGGATTTTTATTAATTCGAGAGAAGGCTAATTCGCATATTAAAAAATTGGATTTTTCTGAGCATTTCCGACCGATTACCATAATTCCGATAGAAAACAATAAAGAAACATTTGTTTTATTGCAAAAAACACAACCCAAGTTAAAAATTAAACCAATTGCAGTAAAAGTGCCTCAAGATGATGATACTTTTAATTGGATTGCATTATTACAGTCATCAATAAATACAAAAACACCAGTTATTGTATATTCATACAACGAAGATTTTAATGGAGTTATAGGATTAGTAAAGTGTTTGAGAAAGGAGCCAGATGGTAATTTAGTTAGATGTTTCTTTATTGATGACAAAAGTGCTCCCGAATTTGATTTGAACCACCAATTTTATTTGGAACAGCTAGCATTAGGCTTATCTTTCAACATATATCGCAATGTAAGACTGTATAATTTATATAACATTTATATTTTATCTTAATTTAAATTGGTTTAAAACAGGGCGCTTGGGGAACCTTTAGACATTTGCCATTGCTTAATACTGATAAGCCAATGTCTAGGTTGGATCACATCTATGGAAATATTATTCAACGTGGAGACTTATCAACTTTAAAATGGCTTGAGGGACCACTCTCCCCACAGAATTGTAAGATAAAGGTGGCATATTCCTCTCTGAATTTTAGAGATGTTATGCTTGCAACTGGTCGATTAGCGGTTGAACTTTATGGATCTAGTCGCATAGATCAAAATTGTGTTCTTGGCTTCGAATATTCTGGAATTGATATGGAAACTGGGCGTCGCATCATGAGTATGGTGGTTAAAGGTGGTGTAGCATCTTATGTGGAGCAGCCGTCCAAACTTATATGGAATATTCCTGATCATTGGTCATTAGAAGAGGCCGCCACTGTGCCTGTGGTTTATATAACGGTTTACTATGCATTTTTCATGGCTGGCGATATAAGGAAAGGAAAAAGCATTCTTATACATGCCGGAACAGGAGGCATTGGGTTAGCTGCTATTAGGGTTGCCTTAGCATATAACTTAGAAGTTTATACAACGTGCAGCACACCGCAAAAAAAACAATTTTTATTAAAAACTTTTCCGGATCTTAAAGGTAATGTAAATAAGATTTACTGATAAAAATATATAGTTAATTTAAATTTTTACACACAAAAAAGTTTGAACTCTTATACTAGTGCCTTGGTCCTGAGAAATGTCTTTTGCTTTTAATTTATTTCTGTCCCATCCTTCTTTTTGTAACTTTTTTTTTTGAAACGATTTTATTTCTATGATAGACAATAAGCAAATTTTTTAACAATGACATTTACAGGAATAGAAACCTTTCAAAAAAGCTTACTATTATATATTGTAACTTTTTAATGGAATTTTATTCCAGTGGCTCCTTATTAAAGAATCGTCCTTTCCGCTTTAGTTTGTTGTTCAGTCAGTTATTTGTTTGTTAAACTTAAGAGTTAATAATATCTCTGGAACAGCAGAATACTGACTGATTGACTCCTTTGAGCCTTATACATATACTAGCAAATCAGTAAAACATTCTGATTAATTTGAAAATTTTTTATGTAATTTTTTAAATATTTTATTTAAAATTATAGAGTCGCATATTGGAAATTCTCGAGATACATCATTTGAACTAATGGTGCAGCGTGAGACAGATGGAAGAGGTGTGGATTTTGTGTTAAATTCGTTGGCTGAGGAAAAGTTACTTGCTTCAGTGCGTTGCCTTGGTAAGTCAGGACACTTTCTGGAAATCGGAAAATTTGACATGGCAAATGATAATAAGATTGGATTGGGATGCTTTTTGAAAGAGATAACATTCCATGCTGTGCTTGCTGATGGTCTTCTTGTAGCTCCTGATAAAGATATTTGGGTAAAATTTATGTTCATTTACATAAAAACTACTTATAAAATTTATATTTTTATAGCATCTCAAAAGCCTTATTGATGCAGATATTATCAAAGGCATTATTCAGCCATTACCAGTCAAGGTATTTCCAGCTCAAGAAATTGAACATGCCTTTAGGCATCTTATAGGAGGAAAACACATTGGAAAAGTGGTTATTCAACTTCGACAGAAGCCAGATGACCCAGATACTTTACCTGTTCAAGTGCAAAAGCAAATTTATTTTAATAAGAATTTTAGTTATATTATCCCTGGCGGACTAGGAGGCTTTGGAATGGAATTGGTTGACTGGATGGCTTTGCGAGGTGCCCGAAAATTGGTACTTAGTTCCAAACGTGGAATTACAAATGATTACCAATTATACAGAATGGCGTACGTTTTTTAATTTAATTTTAAGAAATTTAATTTTTTACTTTTTGTTGATTAGACTTTGGAAATCTTACGGTTGCGAAGTCGTTGTTAATACGTCGAATATTTCAACAAAAGAAGGATGCCTACAGTTAATTTCTGATGCTGCTAAACTGGGACCAGTGGGAGGCATCTTTAATCTTGCTGTTATACTAAGAGATGGTATTTTTTCAAATCAAAATGAATCGCAATTTCTAGAATGTTTTTTGCCGAAATCGATTGCGACAAAATATCTGGATGAGCTATCTCGTATATCTTGCAATGAACTGGAACATTTTGTGGTGTTTTCAAGTGTTTCTTGCGGACATGGAAACGCAGGACAAACTAATTATGGAATGGCTAATTCAATAATGGAACGTATTATAGAGTGTCGTATTAGAGACGGGTTTCCAGGAAAAGCAATTCAGTGGGGGGCAGTTGGTGAAGTGGGCTTAGTGGCAGATATGGCAGAAGATAAAATAGATGTGGAAATAGGAGGTACTCTTCAGCAAAGAATTTCTTCGTGCATACAAGAGCTTGATAATTTATTAAGTACCAAAGATCCAATCGTTTCAAGCATGGTAGTCGCTGAAAAACGGACGGGACGATCGGGAAATGAAAGTATTGTTGATGTTGTAATGAATATCATGGGTATTCGAGATTTAAAGACAGTATCACTTGGGACGACCCTATCAGAAATGGGGATGGATTCGTTAATGGCAGTTGAAATTAAACAAACCTTAGAGCGTGACTTTGAGTTAATTTTATCATCCCAAGATTTACGGCAGCTGACATTTCAAAAACTTCAAGAATTTGTAGAGGCTAAAGAAAGGGAAAATAACGACGGAGTAAAAATGATGTTTTCATCAGAAAATAATATTTTGGGTATGGAGCTGCTTATTAGAAACTTGGGCGATGAAGCACACTGCAATCAAATTATTATTCCACTTACCACATCAGCTAGTACTTCAAAACAGAGTCTTTCCCCAAATATAATAATACCTGGATTGGAAGGTACAGCTGGGCGCGCCTGGTACCAAATAGGATCGTCATTGCAAAGCACGGCCATTGTTTTACAGCTCCATCAATTAGCACATCTGGAAACAGTTCTAGATATAGCGCAACAAAGCTTTGAAGTAAGTTAAACTGTTATAAGAAATCACAAATTCATTATTCAAAACGGTTTTTTAATTAATAGCATATTAGGCCAATCTTAAAACAAACAGACCCGTTTTATATAATTGGATACTCTTTTGGAACACTCGTAGCTCTAAAACTAGCAGAGATGCTTGAAAATGCTGGCTTCCGTGGCCACATAATGCTACTTGATGGATCACCTCATTTTTTGAAACGACTTACTAATCTTCAGTTGGGAGAAAAATTTTCAGATAATGACCTCTACAACCTTCTATTTTCTAGCATTGTAAATCATATATTTCCTGAAGAAACTAAAGAATCGGTAGCCGAAGCTTTTATAAAACTAGGAAACATTTCGGACAAAATGTCTTTATTTATGCAATATGTTGATAAGCAGAATGTATACAGTAAAGAATATTCTGCAACAATGATAAATGCAATGTTTAGAAGAGTAAAAATGACTTATTTTTTGGATTTAGACAGCATAAGTAACTTAAAATCACCGATTACATTAGTCCGTCCAGCTGAAGTTTCACTTCAAGATATAGAAGATGACTATTGTGTTTCGACAATAACATCTGGTAAAGTTACTCTTAAAATAATCGAGGGCAATCATACGACAATGTTGGATAATCCAATATTGAGTCAAATAATAAATGACTTTGACCCGACACTATTAGATGACAAAAATTTTGAAGAATATATTAAAAATGACAAGCCTGTTTCTGTAGTATAAATATTCGGCTACATTATTATAAATTTATAGACAATAGTTGATACAATAAGTTTTTAACCTAATTTTTATTTATAAATATTAAAATTCACAATAAATTTTTAAGCACATATAATAATTCTTTTATTTTTAAATAAAGTATTTAAATAAATTGTTGTTTTAATTAGATTAGATTGGTAAAGGTTGTCAGGACCAAATCGAGCCAGAAAGGTATACCACTGTTTTCAATTCCTGATCATTCCTACAACGCTGTATTCAGTCCGAATTTATTTAAACACCTGGGCCGTCCATTTCGTGTGTATCTTTTCCAAGTCTAATGGCCAAATGTGTGATTTTTTGCCTTTATATTCTTTGGATATTGAGCTTTCAAGTGGCCTTTCTATATTATTCTTATTCGTCCAACTCGTTTGCAATATTGCTGTCTATTAAAGGCCAACATATAACCGACTTGTCACCTCGTGAAGAGAACTTTAGCAGCTCACAATGGTACCCAAATTTGTTTCCATTGAGGACATAAATTTGAAGGTAGTTTGCTTGTTCCTTGGTTGTCTAGTCTGAATGGAACTATCATGGTAGGTAGGTAGGTTTCAGTGGTGAGGACCAAAAACCAGAGCCTCCAAGCAGAGCTAAGCTTTTTTTGTTCCACTCTACCAACCAGAGTCAGTGAGGAAACCTAGGATTCCCGATACCTTTAGCTTTTCTATGCTTCCCAATGACTCCATCTGGTAGGCACCATAGTGACGAAGTCTGATGTGATTCAGCGCTGGGCAGAAGCAGAACAGAAGTTCCGGTGTCTCTTACTCTGTAGTTTGCTTGCAGCTTCTACAGATTGTAGTATGTGGCAGTCCCATCTTCTGCTTGAAGTGGTCATGAATACTTGTCTGGATCGCGTTTAGAGAGATCGATGTCTGTACTTAGTCCTGCCGAGCCTGCACGGGCTAGTATGTCCGCCTTTTCGTTCCCCGGGGTCTCGCTGTGTCCCGGTACCCAGGTTATTTTTCCAAATTTTTATCAGCAAGTCTATTAAGGGCCTTCTTGCCTTCTGCCACTAGCCGTGAGTTGGTTTTCACGGCAGCTAGGGATTTTATAGCCGTTTGGCTATCCGAGTAGATACGCACTTTGGTGTCCCTGATGTCCTGTCCTAAGGGGAGTTCGACTGCTTCCCTTATGGCTAGCAACTTAGCCTGAAAGACCGTCGCTGAGTCTGGGAGATTGAATGCCTTTTCAATTCCCCAATTCTCAGCGTAGTTCCCAGCCCCTACGCCACAGCTTATCTTGGAGCCATCGGTGTAGGGGGACACCTTGTTCTCTACCACCACTTTGTCCCTTCTCCAGTCTTCCCTTGTTGGGTATGTGGTCGAGAATGCGTTTCCGAAGTTCAATTCCGCGGTCATGTAGTCTGTTTTTTCGTATGCCTTTATTTCGCTGCCGTGCCCGGCGCCGTAATCCTTCCAGAAATTGCGTGCTTTCAGTCTCACTGCGCTCTGTGCTGCAATATCCTTCACGAACAGTTCTATCGGCATTATATTCAAGATAGCATTGTATATTGTATGCCCTAGTGCAGGCCACCTTACTACGGCTATGTATGTTAGTATTGGCCATACCACTGCTGTGTAGAGTCATAAAATTATCTTTGGGTGCAGTCCCTGGGCATGTTGAAGGCTGGTATCTTGGTTCTTCTTGTGAAGAGCATCAGTTCTGTCTTAGTGGGATTGACACCTAGTCCACAGGTATTTGCCACCTGTCATTATTTCGCTAATAACGTCAGAGTATGGTCCTGATACTAGTAGAGCTACGTCGCTACGTACTGAGATCTGTCAATATGGCATTCATATTTATGAGCCAGAGTAGGGGCGATAGAACCCCGCCCTGAGATGTGTCTCTCTTCACAGTCCGCGTGAGGTGAGTGCCACTCAGTTCGGATGTGATCGTCCTGCTCTTTAGCAAAGCCCCGATTCATTCTCTGATGCCTCTTTCAATACGTGCTCCCTTCTATCAGGTTTCGGTATAAATATGACTTTTGCTTCCCTCCATAAGAGTGGATGTGCGTCAGTCTTGGCCGATTTTAGCATTGCCGGTATTATGCCGTCTGGGCCCGGGCTTTTGTATCTATCAAAAGAATCTATTGCCCACTGAATTCGCTCCGTAGTAATGATGTCTTTCGTTGGCGTGTGCATTTGCGTAAAAGATTGGGTAACTGAATGTACCGGGGTAGATATGACAAAAGCTCTGCGAGTAATTTCCGTTAAATCTCAATCCTTGACACCGCAGACCTTCAGAATAAAAACTGGTTGGTACTGACGATGTCCCAGATCTTGAATTTAGCTGTGTGAAACCCTCATTTTAAGATTGCCGAAAAATACGTGATCGGGTTTCAATCTCAGAACTGCGAATCATCTCTATTTATTAATTAATGAAATGATAAATATGGGAAAGGCAGTGGTCGGCGACCGCTAATTGTTCAAAATATTGGCTTGACCTATATTTTGCTCAATAATATGCAATATTTCGAATAATAATATAAAAAAATGGTGGTATAATAAGAAAAAGGCAAACATTTCAATATGTTTGCGTGTTTTATTATGATATATTGAGTTTTTCTCTATATATACCACTCAACCCATACGATAAATGAGTGTTTGGTAAACTGCGGTGCAAAAAACCTATATAGGGGAGGCAGTGATCGGCGCCTGCTCATTGCTCCAAATAAATAACTTGCATATATTTTGCTCAATAATATGCAATATTTCGTATAATAATATAAAATAATGGTCGAATCATCTCTATTTATTACGTGTTCTTGCTTAGCCTAGCTTAACGACGACTATACTGAAAGCGGAGCCAGCTTGTGGATCGCCCTTCGGAAGACCGCTCCGTCGCACCGTCTAAGGTCGACGGCCCTGATCATGCAGTCCTCCTCTACTTTGTCCTGCTTGTGGTGCCACTTTCCTCGGATCTAGAGGCTCAGCATATACTCCCGGGACCATCGCCGTCAAAACGATTGCCTGATGACGAGACAAGCCGCTATCGCCACGAGCAGCAGAGACCCGCCTGGTCCAGGGTCCGGAGTGCTGGTGCTGCGACAAGGGGCCCGCCTGTCAGCAGGTGTCCGGAAGTGAGCGCCTCGCCGTCGCTTGTGTCTTGGCTGAGAGCTCCAAAGGTTCACGAGTTCATTACTGCCTCTACTGAGGACTGTCCCCAGCTCTTCGGCATTGAGGAGCGCGCCGCCTTCCGCTCGTAGGAGTAGGCACTTGGCAGTTTTCACACCTGCCTCCCATAGTACGCGCATTTGCGAAGTCCAAGGGGCCCGAATGCAAACATTTTGAGTCTTTCGCGAAGAGCTTGGAAGTGACGACTCGCTCCCACGAAGTTCGTCGTGTTGTTGCAATAAACTTTTTGGGGACATCCTCGCGACCAATAAGCCTTTGAAAGCTAATTAAAAGGAGTCAGCGCTTAGATCTGAAACAATTTCTAAGTGAATCGCCTTGGACACAAAACAAACAAATAAGGCAACGTAGGACTTATCGCCTTCCTCGAATTTTCAATGTCGTATAAACAGGGCCATAAAAATCAACGCCACATATTGCATAATTTGAGTCATCAATGGGGGCTTGCATTTAAAGCAGCGCACACACGACCTAATTGTTTGACTGCAGAGTTCCTGGGCGTTTAGGGTCCAAATACGCTGTCGTAGGATGCTCACAAGTGCCCGAGGACCGACAGGAAAATTTGTATGTTGCAGATGCCGGACGTAGCTCTGCACATATTGGGAGCGTTTCGTCATTAACATGGGAAACTTGTCCTCGCATGATATAAAAACGTTTGCTAGTCGCCCACCAACTGGTTAAAACGAAAAATTCCACCAAGTGCCTGTGTCTTCATGGATAAATGGGTTCAATCGCTAATGACTTGGGCTGACCTTGGAGCCGTTTTGAATTTTTTCAATTTCTATGTGATGCTCGAGCTTATGAATTATTTCGACAATCTTATTGAACTCATCATTATATTCAGTCGGTGAATACTATACTCTTGTCTGCATTTTCTTATAAAGCGGAACATATAAGCGAACACTCTAAGCAGTTTAAGGTGTGATGAGAATTTCTCCATGTCGTCCAGCAAATCAGAAGTTTGCACCGCGGCGGTCAGTCCAGCCGCAGTCTTCTTTGCCTCGGGACGCAAGACTCCCTCATCCAGCTTGAAATGGGTATTTTTGGGCCAGTTATTCATTATTCATTCATTATTCATTTGATAGGGACTTTTATTAAGGGGTTGATTCTCTGGCATAGATCTGCGAGAAGGTGAGCGGCACATAGCTCAAGCCCTGGGAGCGTTCTGGTCTTGAGCGGCGCTACTTTTGAATTTGAAGTCAACAACGATAAGTTATAACCTTCAGCAGATTTGCTACGAATGTAGACACAAGGCAAAGGCATGAAACTCACAGACTCACTCAACCTTTTTAAACACCGAATAGCTAGAAAAATGGCTGCTTAATCTCATGGGTTAATCATCACTTGGCGATACATCTTTTTAACATCGGCAGTCAGGGCGTACCTGTGCAGCCGGAAGCGGAGTAGGCTGGACTACAACTCTTCTCTCTTCTTGAATTGTCGGTCCCACCATCAAGATGTCATTTAAGGCCACCTGAGACGATGCTTTGCACGATGCGTCGAAAGCGATGCGCAGCTTTTTTGATGTACTCTGGGGCCTCAATACACATTGATGATATAATATGGAGTGACCTAAGGCGAGGTATTCTTTCGTGAATTCCAAGTAAATAGTCTTCATGTCTGGATCTCGAGATAACCTTCTCTCAAGCGACAAAAACCGCCGTTTCGCAACTTCGAAGGAGTTGGCTAGCCCATTAGGATCAGACTTGAACGGCAGCCATGGTTTAAGCCGACCTGATGGCAAATACCTGATAAGTCTTCCTATAATAATTTTCAAGCAACCTGTGCTCAGGCGACAGAACTTTCTTTGGAGTTGGCATTTCCTCCAGTGAATAATAATTTTTGTAACGTAGTTTCGATCGACACTTACGGTACACTGAAACTATTCACCCACTACCAATTATTCGTGACTTC